AAAAAAAAAATCCTATGGGGCAGCCTGGGCAGGGCAAATAAGTCCCAGGAAGGGATATTTCCAGCACTTTGTGTCTCAGTGAGGGTAGAAGGGAGGGGCTGTGGGTTGTCCAGGGTAGGGAGCCTCCAGCATTTTTTCTGCAGTCAGGGTCTCCTTGTCTTCCCACTGTTAAGGACCCTGTCCATGGACCCTCAGGACCAACCTCCTCAAGTGTAATGATCCAGGCTACAGGACAAAGTTGTTCCCTGCAGTGACAGTTACCCAGGGCTCCAGGGAGCCCACAGCTGGCAGTATATCAGATGCCATCTGTGGGCACTGTTAGCCTGCCCACTCGTAGGTAGAAACACAGTATGCTCATTTGTAGTCTGGTTTGGCAGGACCCAGTACCCTCAGCAGTGGTCTGAGTGTTCAAAGCCCACTTTTGTAAGATAGAACCTAAAACATTTTGGGTTAATAAAGTAAATGTTTGTATAAATTATTTGGTGTTACCTCCACACCTTATACCCCAACACCATGGCTCAGACATGGGATCAGGACACTCCTTTGGGATCCCACTGTTAGCGAGGCAGGGAGTGCCATAGTTTTCTAACTTGGTTTACCACCGGCTAGTCCAAAGGAAGTCTTTCATGACTCCTTAGCAAATAAGCAGGTAAAGGAGAGGGCTCTGATGGGTGAAAGGGTTGGGAAGAGGATTCTGAGCCTGGAATCCGGCTCCTTCCCCTCTCAGCAGTCCCCGGAGCTTGGATTGAAAACAACCCAGTCTTCAGCTCCATTCTATAGATGGAGAAGCTGAGGACAGAGGGAGGCTGTGAACTATGAAAGGCCACATGCTGAGAGTCCTGGCCAGGCTATCTGACCACAAACCAGCTATGGATTTTGCACTTTTGTTCCAAGCCACTTGTGTGTGTGTGGACCACCACCATTTGAACAAACTATGCAATTCCAACTGCTTACTTCCAGAAGCATTTTAATAAAAGATTTCTTTTTTTTAATAACAGAATTTTGGTTTACTTGAAGTTCATTCATTGTATCTACTAATAAAAAAAATTAGGCTGCTTTGGAGAGGCTGTAAAACCTGAGGTTTTGGGCCACGAGCTGATCTCAGATCACATGCCTGGCTTGGGGTGGGAGTGGCGTGTTCTGAGCTCATTGACTCTCAGCTGCTGGTGGGTCTGGAGGGAGAACTGGGGGGACATCTCTCTCTTTTAACTCAGTTTCCACCTGGGCCAAGTTTGGCTTTTCTGAGAGCAAAGTCTCTCTTAGGTTGTCGAGGCTGTTATCTTTGGTTCCAGCCTCATCCAAATGCAGGACTTCTGGAATTTCTTTTTCCGGTGGCTTCATCTTTCGATTTCTGGGAGGAGAGAAACAGTGTTGATCAGGGAGACCAAGGTGTTGGGGCAGGACTGAGTCTCCCAAATGGGTTAGAGAGCTTGAGGGGAACGTCCTGCATGCACTCTGGGAGCTAGTGGGGGAGAAGCGGCCATGGCAGAGAAACAGCTTACACACACGTGCAACGTCACTGCCACCTGTGAGCTCAACTAGTATTGCCACACACCCTCCCACCTTACGGGTGAGGAAATGTGGTTCGAAGAGGCCAAACAAGCACATACCTGGGGTGTGCACTTAAGTCTCCTGACTCTGAGTCCCGTGTTCTTTTCACCAAACCACACAGTTTCCAGCCCCAGGACTGTCATCCTACTTAGCGCAGGTCCTTGTCACCCCATACCACATCCCCCACAGTACTGCAGAAAATTCCTGC